AGAAAGACATGGAAGGTAATACAACTGTTGCTCAAAGGAAGACAGGCTGATGAAACTTCTCATTTCTCCGCTAGATGTTAGTAAATCCTGTTAAGTCACCCTTCTGTTGTGTTACCACTACTAAAATGTACTCTGTAGGAGGAATGTAACAAATCCCTGAGGGAAAGATTTCAGCTGTAATTTGATTAGTGTAAATAAGCCTAATTATGAATGTTCTCAGAAAATTCTCAAGAAACTTTGGTGACTCAAGCAAGACTTGAGATACAAACCTAGTTAGTAGACAGATAAAGACTAACCTGTTGTTCTTTTATTAAATTGAGCAGTAGAATACCTATAACATAACAGGACTCTTCTGTCAAGGAAAGCATAGGAATGCTGGTTCAGTATCACCCACCAGACGTGCACCTACAAGTACCTCTTTGAACCAGGTCAAGACGCATCTTACTACACTTATACAGCGACTATTTAACACATCACCACTCTCCCTTCTTAAACCTCATGCTGGGTGACTCCTGTTATTGGCTAAGGCCAGTGTCACAAAGTTAAGCAACAAGATGAAACATCACACGAATTGCCAGCAACACAAAGGCAACCGGAAGTGATGTTTGCCATGGAAAGAACTATCCACCAAGCATGAAGCTAGCTCGAGAAGCTCTTCCCATGTAAGAGATTTAAGTAATCAATTAATTCGTCAACCACTTATTTAGCCATACATAATATATAAAGCACCATGCGATGCTCGGAGGTAAACGACTGGGGAAAAGAGCACAAACGTGGCTGAGGTGTAGGGGTCTTCGGATTAAGGCCCGATTGGATTAAGAACCACAGAGAAATAGCACCTTAAGTCAAATGTACTGCTCAGCTCTTAATAAAATCACTTAATTGTTTAAACACACTTTTTCCCTACAAGAAATCTATTTTTCCTTCCAGTTTTGTTGAGATATAATTGACATACAGCCCTGTATAAGTTTCAGGTGTACAGCATAGTGATTTGACTTACATACATCATGAAATGATTATCACAATAAGTTTAGGGAACATCCATCATCTCATCTAAATACAGAATTAAAGGAATAGAAACAAAAATATTTTTTCTTGCGAAGAGAACTGTTAGGATTTACTCTCTTAACAACTTTCATATCTAACATACAGCAGTGTTTATTCTACTTACCGTGTTGTTCATTACACCCTAGTACTTATTTATCCTATAACTGGAAGTTCATACCTTTTGACCACCTTCATCCAATTCTCCCTCCCTCCACTTCCCGCCTCTGGTAACCACGGATCTGATCTCTTTTTCTAAGAGTTGTTTTTGAAGTGTCATTGACCTACAACACTGTGTTAGTTCCTGTTACACAACAGAGTGATTCGATATTTCTATTTATTTCAAAATGGTTACCACGGTGTCTAGTTACGATACGTCACCATACAAAGATATTACATAGTTACTGACTGTTCCCCACATTGTACATACATATCTGTGACTCATTTATTTTGCAACTGGCAGTTTGTACCTCAATCTCCCTCACCTATTTCTTTCCTCTTTCTACTCCCTCCCCTCTGGCAACCACCTGTTTGTTCTCTTTGACTTTTTTGTTACCTCCAGTTGAAAGTCTCACTGAGGGTTGTCTGGTCAACCACAATATTTGTGGAGAAGTGGAAGAAAAGAAGAAAACTCAGCATCAGCTAATACTGCCTGGACTCTGCCCTCAGCCCCTGGGGGTACAGGAAGGAGCACAGCTCTCTGCAAGCAGGAATGGTGAGCGCAGTTAACAAACGCACAGCCTGGACCTGCAGGCACAATAACCATCCTCATCCCAGTCAGGCGGAAACAACGGGGCCCAGCGTCCCAACCAAGTAAGACTAAGGCCCTGACATGGTGGTCTCTGCCTTTCTCCTCTACCACCCAGAGTATCAGTATCAGTTAGGGAAGGCTAGTCACTGCTGAAATAGACCCCAAAATATCTAAAGGCTCAGACAACTCAGAGCTTCGTGTCTGAGGAATGGGGGAATGAGGTCTTCCTCTCCCTCACACTGAATCAGGGATTCGGGTTGCCAGGCTCTGCCATCTCCATCTGGGTCATTCTGTGGGCTGGACCTCAGTCACATGCTGTACCCAAGTGCAAAGGAGCCTGGAAGATGCATTCTTGCAAGAGGGAAACATGGATGGTGGTGAGAAGCCAACAGCCTCTGTCACTGTATTTTATGGTTTTTCCTCCCCCTTCCAAGGTTTTTCATGCTCTTGACGTACATGTACGGATGAACGTGTGTATGTACATATGTGTATATATAAAATGTGGTTTTATACAGTAAACTTTTTATCCCATCTGCATAATAAATGCCAGGGACCCTCATACAAAGATGGGTGACCCTTAATTTCTGAAGGAACGGGAACAACCAGATATTGGGACCCAGACAAAATAGTTCATGAAGCTTTGCTTAGCTTCCTCCAAGGGTCACCTCCAGACAAGGGAGATAAACACTCCCATGGCCACACTGCCTTTAGGGACCTTATCAAGATCCACCCAAATAATACACTCACAAAGGGTTCATCTCAAGCTGGCAAAACACTACTACAGTATGTGATTTCCCTCATAAAGGGAGCAAAATGCCAAGCATTTCCTCAGTACCCTCAGTGATTCCATTTCCCAGCTAAGAACCATCACGTCTTGGAATTAGCACTTTCATCACAAGCACTAGAAGCTGGCTTTTTTCTCAGAGTCATCTTTCACAAAGAGAGCCTATTTTGTTTCAAAGGCATTTCACACCTAAACAATGGGTAGAAACAACACTGCACTGGAATATGGACACCAGGTAGCTGCTAACCCACTAATCCACCACTCCTGGGTTCGTTACCCCCCCACCTGTCTCCTAAAGCAGCTGACTTAAAACCATGCCTCAGCAAAATGACAGATCAGCATATGTCGTGGACTTTTCATAGTCTACCTCAAATCACTGACATGCAAATGATCTGTAATACAGAAATATACTAGAGTATACATTCTTTTGGCAAGGTATACATGTGATTTATCTTGTTAGTTTCCACAATACCTTGTATATACCATCACTCAAGAAATATTTACTGAATGAATCCTGCCATTTTTAAAATTTGTCATCTGTAAGTCCTCTGCATGCATCACCTAGAGCTGTCAGTCTCGAGGACTCATCAGTATGACTCATTCTATGCACAACCTTGCTAACAGGTATGAGATAAATGCTTTCTGACTGTGACAGTGACAAAGCTGGTGGTGCTATGACAGCATGATCAGACATAAAGGACCATGCTGTTTCATCATGCCCGTGGGTCTAATCAGCCACCGGAAGTGGTACAAGACTCCAGTTCCTAATATGGGGTCCCCAACCCCTCAGCACAATTCCTGTCTCCCACTCGTTTTAATTTTCTCCCTAGCGTGTATCACCACCTGACACATGAAACGTATTTGTGTGCCTTTCGTCCCACGAGAAGCTCTATAAGGACAGGGAATTATGTCCATGCTGTCCAGCACCTAAAACAGTGCCTGGAATACAGGAAGCACTCAATAAACATCTGTGGAAGGAATGGATGAAATAAAGAACATATTTGGATTCTTTCCTCCAAATCAAAAGATTTTAGCCACATAAGACATCAAGTTAAGGCCGGCAGCGATGCAAAAGTGAAATTTGCAAAATAGTTTGGTAACTAGAGAATTCTTGCTCCCTGGGTTCTAATACCTGATGTTCTAAAACTTAAACATACATCTTCCTATCTTAGTTCCTAGGGACTTATTCTCTTAATCTCATTTGCAGATCAACTGTATCCTTTGCTTTTCCATTTCCCTACTTGCTTCTCAAAACAAGAGAGAAAAATTACATGAACAATATACCAAACTATGCAATAAATAATTAAACCACATTTTTCTCCCAGACCTAAGCCCCCAGATGTCATGGTCCACAGTTCCTGGAGCATAACCAAATGCAGAGAAAAGCTCCATCCCTTGGTGAAACAGAAACCCAACAAGCCCAAGCCCACTCACTAAGGAACGCGGCATGGCCGCAATGTCCCAGACTCTTTGAGAACTCACTCCAGCTTGGCCTTGACCCTCAACTCAACAGTGCAGCTTCTCCAGTCCCACTGGTTTCTGTCACTGGGGTCCAAACACCCACATGGAGCCTCTTCGTGCCAAAGGACATCACACAAAAGTTTTGCATTGAGAATGAAACCAAAACACCACAAATTTGTACACAGCGTGGTCCTAAATTTAAGCAACAGTGACTGCCAGTGTAGGAGTTATGAATCACTCAATGCCATTATTTATCTGTTCTGGAAAGAGTGGGACTCTCCAAAGAGAAATGCTACTCCAATAGACTAGCTTCAATTTCAATACCAGTCCAACTTCAGCTGTGTTTTAACTCTTAATACACACTTGAAGGATACACAACACAACTGCTCCTAGCACGGGCTCACTGAACTTTGGGAGAACAGGAAAGAGGTCTTCAGAGTTTCAAAAGCACCCTGGGAGACTCTAAAATAGCTTCATGTTCCTCGTGGGGATCATCGGCATAACTGATTCCACCTCCAAATGCACTCCTGGAATTCTGAGTTCTCAGCATAGAGATTTTTTAGCCAAGGCACTTGTCACAGTGAGCTGTCACATTATGGCTCCACCGTAAGAGCGATAGTCTCCCTTAGACTTGCAAAGAGATTTACAGACTACTCCAAAGTTGTCTGGAATTAGACACAGAGCAAGAACAAAAATAACCTAGCCCTCGTTTTCACTTCAGTAAAATTCTCCAGTAAACCTACTCAGGCAATTAAAATCAATTTCAATTTCCACTTCTTGAGCCTTTCTGTTCTTTGCTCTTAAGAGAAAGAAGAGCATTCAGTAAACAAAACCTGAGTTTTAAATCTGAATTCAAATCACCTGGGGCTGCTTTATACTTCGGTAAATAACTAAGTGCAGCATAAACTAATAAATATTTCATATATCTGTAAAACATGTTCTGATAAAGCAATCATCTACCTTTAACTCAGCCTTTTAGTTAGGACTGGACGTTATGGAAAACTCCACACACACACACAGCACCTTTCCTCCTAGTGCTTCAAGGTCCTTATGAAGGAACAGAACTTTCTAAACAGGAAACCAAAGTGTAGTAAGGTGGGGCCATTTTCCTCAGTGACACCAGAACCCCAAATTCCTGACATTCCCCAGCCATAAGTTCAAGGCTTGCTTTGTCATATACCACATGCTTTCCACATGGAGATGGGTCTGATCCATGAACTTAACATGAAACTTAACCCCCCCCCAAAAAAGTGACAAATACGAAAGAAAATAAAATTTTGATATGACTGATGGTAGTGCCCATCTCCATGAAACAGACTTTTCCACTTCGTACTCTGGCGTGCGTGTATTCTAAAACTGCCTTCAGCAACACCAATGAGATGACTTGCTAGAAAAGTCCAGGCACCTGACTTTCCAAATACATAAATCTAAATGCAATGGGTCACCTCAAGTAGGCACAGAAATCATTTCACTAGGGCAGATTTAATGTTGAGAAAAATCACAAGTGGGGCTCCAGTAGAAAATGAGTTTGCTCATAAATATAAAAACTTATTTAGTATTCAAAAAAATCTACTTTCCAACAAAGAAATCCACGTTTTCCTAAGAGCCCTGAAACGCCTGACAAATTCTTTGCTCCGCTCCCCACCTGAACCACAAAATAATTAGGAAGCACCTGAAAGGTCATGTGAGCGCTGAGCCAAACTTCCTCTGTGATGACACTGCTCCAGATGGCACCTGAGGCCGTCAGGTGCTTCTTACGTTGGGAATTAGTCAAGGACATTACATAAGGCTGCTCCTCTCCTGTACGTACGCTAACTTTAGAAAGCCATTTTGAAGGCATACGTCCTTTTCTTATGACGGGAATGCTCCCCATGTGCCTGGGAAGTAAGAGTCAATGTTGTTCTTTATCCCTTTATTACTGGGAATAGTGAACAAAGAACAAGTTACTGAGTTCAGCTCCACAGAGTGAGACCAAATAAAGATTCCCTCGAGGATCCAGAACTGCAAACTCTAGTGGTTTCAAGTAGCCATCTTTTAGAGATGTGTATACTATTCCGTGATGGAAAAATTAGAGTCCCAGGCTTAAGGCACCATTATTCAGCTTGTAAAACTGCAGGATGCTTTCTTGCACAATTTGGTTCAACTAACGACAAGATGAAAAAAAGCATTTCTAAGCTACATGGTCAAACGATTGATCAGATCCTGGGTTCAGAAACTAGTGGAAAACACATGAGCCATTATTGAATTCCAAGGGCAACAGAGGCTCTTCTCCGGATGACAGAAATCTTCTCAAGTTAATACTCTACTGAGTTACTACTGGATTGTGAATTTCCCTACTGTGACCAGAAAAACGTATTCAGTGCATTGTTCTCTATTACATCCCAGAGCTACAGCAACCACTCATCCAGCCTCGACATGTTTTTCCCTTTTTGAGGGGTATTCCATTTGATTTTGCTGATTTTGCTTGGTGGCCCCTAAAATGTACATATCTGGCATTTCATGCAGTGTTAACAGCTTCTAAGCTTTAATTAATCACAAATTTTGAACAGCAGTGACTGTTTTATGGGGGGAAAAAACTATTGCATAAACATCAAGATTCAAATTCTGGTCTTGCTATTTACTGGCTTTGAGGTTTGGAGCAGATCACTCACATAATAAGAGTTGGGAAGAAAGGGAGATGATTTCTAAGATCACCAGTGATTCCGTGTATGTGACGAGAAATGTTAAAAGATGAGCCTAGAACAGCAGTTCTCAAGTTTTTTTGGTCTCAGGACCCCTTTACATTCTTAGAGGTTATTGAATACGTCAAAGAGTTTACCTTAGAAAATTCTAGAAAACTCAAGAATATACACACACATTCCAAGAGCCAACACGTGGCCTCTAGAAAACTCTACTAAAACATAAGAAATAGGAGTAAAAGAGGTAAATGTCTTAGTACTCTAATGAAAATTGTTTTGACTTCATAGACGTACTCACTGGGTCTTGGGAACCCTCAGGCATCCTCATACCATATTTTGAGAACCACTAGCCTCAGGTATCTTAACATACAGAAAGCAAGGAAGCTGTCAAAAACCACTAGAATCATAACCAAAGGATCCAGAAGCCAGCACAAAGGGACTCCCACTGGCCAAAGATGGGACAATTTTAGTGCCAAAAATAAATGCAATGGATTAAAACAGAAATATATTTAAATTCATGAATTCCTCAAAAATCACATACCTCTCTCCGTGTCTCTCCATGGTTACCTTCTGAAGACATTACTAATTAGTTGGCTAGTGGAGCCAATGACAGTTGACCCTTGAACAACACAGGTTTGAACTATGCAGGTCCACGTATATGCAGATTTCTTTCAACAGCAAATACTACAGTACTACACGATCTGCTATTGGTTGACTCTGCTGATGGGGAGGATCAGACTATAAGCCATACATAAATTGACAGGTTCACAAAACGTCAGCACCCCTAACCCCCACATTGTTCAAGGGTCGACTATAATTAAAACTTGATAAATAAAGGGAAAGAATCAGTCATATTTCCTGTCTTTCCTATATAAATTGTGCCTCAGGAGAACCAAGTAGCTAATTAGCAGAAGTTTCTCTTTATAGAAGTATTCTTAGCTAATACATGAATGATGGAAATAAAGATTTTACAACCCCTAATGAATTGATTAGACAGCTGTGATCACCATTCACTGTTAACATCTCTCTCTCATACACACACCCAGAAGAAACTGATGTTAAGTGCCTCCTGATGAGAGTACACGACACACTCATAGTATTCTTGAAAAAAAAATGGAAACAATTTTGATCAGCCTCTAGATGTGACTACAAATTCACAAGTGACACAGTGGCTAGTGGAGTATGTTAAACAGAGGAATATTTAATATTTAACTCCCTGGGATGTAATTGGCAAAACCAGGCTCTAGACCAGAATAAATTGTCTGGTTTGGCGAAAAACTAAATTGCAAGGAAGAGGTAGTGAAGGGTGAACTTACAGACAAAATGGACTAAAAAGGCATGTCAATCAACCACACTGTATGGATCTTATTTGGATCCTGATACAAACAAACTGACAAGCAAGGAGGAAAACAGATAAATCTGAACAGTGACCAGATGTTCCATATTTGATTATCTTAGAGAAGTTCAGTATGATAATGATATTATAGTATTAAAAGAAAAAAAGAGCCCTTGTCTCTCAGAGATGTGTACAGAAATACTTACTAATGAGATAATAGGGTATCAGAGGTCTGTTTCAGAATAGTCCAGGGTGGGGGAAAAGAGGCTGGGGTCTAAATGAAGCAAGACAGCTATATATGAAAATGAACATATGTATGCACATGCATGACTGGGACATTGTGCTGTACGCCAGACACTGACACACTGTAACTGACTGTACTTCAAAAAAAAAAAAGATGGCTATAAACTGACCATTGTTAAAGTTGAGAGAGAGGCACAAAGGGTCCATTCTAATATTCTATTTCTGTACATGTTTGAAATCTTCCACACCAGAAAAATAAAACAAAAGTGGCCATGAAAATGTCTGCTTGTCTTCTCCAGCGATTCTGTGAGCTGGGAGGGCAAGACCTCTCCGCCACCCAGCACTCAGCAACACGGAGCACACGGCACGTGTCCAGGACACGCCATGGTCCAGGCCACCAGCCCAAGATCTGAGAGCTGACCTGTGATGGGGCGGGTTCAGCAAAGAAGTCCTGAGCCCGCTGTCTCTGACCCTGAGACATTTTTCCAACAGAGCAGGAACCAGCACTACATTTACAGTGTGATCCCAACCAAGAAATATAAGCAAAAACCCAACACAGAAAGGGTGTAACAACTCTTCGCAGATACACATGTGAAAACAGTAAGTTTTTTTTTTTTTTTTACCTCCTGAGTATAGGGACTATGGGAGTTTACTTTGCTTCTGTTTCTCTGAATTTTCCAAATGTTCTGCAATTGCTATATTATTTTAAATGTGGGCAGAAACCTAATCAACTATTTTTTAAATCATTTATAGTATCAATATAGCTAGCTATTTTTAAATAGTAAGAGCATTTTATGTTTTATTTCTGTGACCCGTTATGGTTTAGATAAAGGGAAAATATTATAATAATGAAGAAAATATTGAAAACTATCATTAAGGGATTTTCAGTTAAATCATGAAAGCAATAGAAAAACACCCTTTTAATATTTGGGAAGAGGGGGATATCCTTCATTACCTTTCCCTCTGTAAAACAGAGATGCTATTTTTTTTATTTTTAAATCACATCTGGACAACCTACCCTGAGAAGATCTCTTGAGGTTCTTCTAAAACCTCAGTTTCAGCACAGGAAGCTGGGGGCAAACAGGGATGTCTGAGACCTACTGAAACACCTTCTGCCCAGATACTGGACAGGTCTGGACATATACATCTATGTATCTATGTATCACCAGATACTCTGTTCACCCCCACCCTCCTCCCACTCCCTTCTATCAGTTCAAGGAAGCGAACAGGAAATTTTGTTTAAGGCCAAGATGCCACACCACAAGGTAACGTCGTATTCCCTAAAGGAAGATGTGTCCCACAAACAAAAACGGATTTTCTTCTTTTTTAGGGAAAGCGTTCCTTTCAGCTAAAGATTCTTAAAGAACTGGGCAACAGCTTAGAATCCTAAGCTTGCTTCAATTATTTCACTCAGAAAATACATGAAAGAATATATGCACCAGTATCTATTAATAATTGAACACGAAAAAAGAAAAACGTTGGCAATTTGGCGTAGATAATTGTTATGTTTTCCACGGGGGTCTAATTAAACTTGACTTAGACTGCACCCTGCCTTTTTTTTTAACCCTTCTATTAAATAAACAAACAACAACAAGGGGAAAAAAAGCTGAAACTGCCACTCCTCTTGTGCTTTATATATATCGTGGGAGGTTGTACTCAAAGAGAGGGGAAAAGTTCAAATGACTCAATATCTGGCATTGTAACCTAGTAGTTAAAGAGCACTAGCCTTCCACCAGTCTGCCGTTTATTAGCTTTGTGACTTTGAGCAAGCTGTTTAACCTCTCTGTGCAGCATGGGTTCCTCCTCTA